CCTTAGCCAACTGTGTCCACCTTTTGACCTTAAATTACTAATTAACTGCTTACATACAGAAACTTTTGTACTAATTAATGTAAGAAAAAATAGAATTAGGATTAAAAAAAAATAGAATACCTAAGGTTTAGACTTCTAATAAAAAATTGTTCATATACAATTTATCCTCAATTTGACGGGGAAAAAAAAAAAAGAAAAACATCAAAATTTGGATTAGATATGATGTTTTTTATTATTATATGGTGGAAGACTTGAATAACAAACTTTAACGAACATTATAAAATCAAATATTTTATATACGTGCTAATTAAGGAGTACAAAGCATACTTGTTAGGCACTGGTTGTGCAGGGGCATGTACAATGCAACTATGCAAGCAGGTTGGCGTTGCTTATATCCGAAGTCATGAGATGAATGACATATACAGAAAATTAGTAAACCTAATACTCACTCCACCTCCTGACGATAAAGACAAAGTGATTTGTTGCAACTAAGCATGCACCATATCCATTTTACATTACTGCAACTTAAAACTATGCACTCTTCACTTTGTTCTTTTTTCATAATTTCAATGTTATATCTGTATGGTTAATTGAGGTAAACTGAGACTTCAAGCAAATCTTAAGTAATAATGTTAAGAATTTAATTTCTGAAATGTCAACGTTTGAAGAATTTTACCTAACTGTCACCCAACCCAAATTTACGTGAATAATTGATTATAACGAAACAATGTTCTGGGTTGCCAGTGAAGCAACCGGCTTTGACGGCAAAATTTTAATGTAAGACATTCTTTAATACGCATAAATAAAGAATGCTATCGCAACAGCTGCCAAAACAATTATTAAAACTTTAAAAATGAATAAATGACTTAAAAATAATACACATATTACATTTTTATTATTTATTTTTTAACCAAATAGTTGTAAGGATTAACATAAAATGACGCAATCATCCCGGTATTAGTGCCAGTACATATCACCATGAAGGACTATTAGTCAATGAAAACATTCAAATCGTTTGGTTGAGAAAAAAAAAAATTATCCAGAAATCACGATTCTCATAAATATGTGAGAAAGTGAATTTACTAGGTGGAATATTATTAAAAAGTTGTTTGATAAATCAAAATATTCCTGAAAATGTAGGGTTGATTATGTCCCAAAAAATTGTCAAATATTCTCCTAGTATGATATTCTCAAAATACCATCCATTTGGTAGTATTTTAAGATGAAAATTTTCTTCATAATCGTGAATTCCGAGAATCCGATTTTTCCGAAAAAAAATTTAGAATCATCATACCAAACGTGGATAAATCGAATTTCCAATCTCAGATTCCCAAGATTCTAAAAATAAGAGAAAAACACAAACAAAAAAAATCATGAGAGAAAAAATGAGTGATTTTTAAAAAAATTAAATTTTAAATAAAAAAACTACTAGGTTGTATCTTTTTCTTTTAAAATGACACAACTATATGCCTTTTAAAAGAATAAACATTTTTTCCAGTTTTTTTTGGTAATTATTTTTTCCATAGATTCAATTAACTAGTTGAGTCAACCAATAATTTTACTATATTTTAGGGAGTAAATATATGTTATAATTTCCAAAAATCCATGTGTGAGGTCAATTTAATTAGTTCCTAAATCATAAAAAAGTGACATAAAAATTGACTTTTTTATACGAATCGCAAAAAAACCATCAATGTAACATTTGATTTTGAGATTAATTAACGTCGACTTATTTTTAGGACTAAATTAATATATATATATATATATATATATATATATATATATTTATAAGGTCAATTTAATATATTTTTAAATGGAAGAAGGTCAATTGTTAAATGACTAGGGTTATATTGATAAGAAAAAAATTTTACGAACTTACAAACTACACTATGTCTTACCGGTAATACTCTACTCAAGAGTGTCTTACCGTTCAGATATAGTGTAGTTTGTAAGAGTTTGTCAACAAAAAATTTGTAAATATAACCTTTCTCTTGTTAAATATGTTATAAAATTATATACTTTTAATTTAACCGCTTTAAACTTGTAAGATAATTGATTCGTGCCATAATGTTATAGGCTGTATGAACAAATGATCTAAAACTTGATGGTGTGCCAGTGTACCTTCCATTCTGCTATATACAGAAAGATGAAATCTAACATGAAGTAAATGGGAATATGCAAAACGATAGCTTAAGTTTTGAGAAAGTTAATAAAATGAGTAAATTAACCAATGCTACTTTGGAGGAGAGCCACTTAACTTTATTGAGTGAAAGTTGCAAAAGTGGAGTGAAGACAAGGGAAGTCACGGGTCGGCAAATCCTTTCATTGAAGGACAATGACCCTGTGCCAACTCCTAATCTTGTGTCACATTTACCGTTTACAGAGAACATGTTTCACTCTTTAACCTCATGCTAACCCCGTGAGAAAAAAACTTTTCCATCAAAACTCCACACCAATATGCTATAGCCATACGCAAGTATAATAAATTAAGTTACGGACAGAAGAAATTGCTTTTACCAAAAAGAAAGAAATTGCCAGATCAGTTGCCTCCTGCTCAAGGTGCAAAGGCATGTGCCCATAGATCCCTTAATTTGTTGTTCTACATAATAAGAATAAGAAGATGTGATACCATATGCTAATTAAAGGTTTGATCAACCTGGGGCTTAGAATGGCCGCGTGGCATGTACATGTTACAACTTCCTTGAGTGAACATATATATATATATATATATATATGGTTCCATTTATTAAATTTAGGTGAAAAATTGTGATTGATGATTCATGTTGAATCAATCACAATTTCCAACCCACGTACGTTGAACACGTGCACTTAGGTTTGGTTCATCTCATGTTCAAAATTTGTGATTGTAAAATTGTACAAGTATCACTACTCTAGTCTTAAGTATAAACTCGAGTTACTGGTAGACTGTAGTATGCGGCACACCTACCTAATTGCAAGTTGCTCCATTCTAAATCCAACTACTAACTAGAAAAAGGCAGTCTACTAGGAAAGTGGTGATGGCTCATAATTAATAATGGAGAGAGAGGCGTTAAATGAAACTTCCAAAGCCATAAAATCAATAGCCCTTTAACATGAAAATTTATTACATATTCCTTTAGCGTTAGCGTTACATAACATTAAGCTCACTCTTTATATATTTATTTTGACATCTCAGCACCTTAAATAATGATGGGGTTCATGTAATAGTTTCTTCTTTGGCATAAGTATGATAGATAAACAAATAAGCATACCCGCATACATGCCACCTCCCTTTAAATACTTTCTCAATTTTCAATTTATTACCAATTTCTCTTCATGGATATCTATTCTCATCTTGACTCGCTTCCCCAACTTTACTTTTTATCTTTATTTTTCTTGATGTATCCCGTATTGACTTAGGCCGTGAGAGCACTTTTACACATGTATACAAGACCAACGCTTAGCCATAAGTGAAAGACAATGTTCACAAAATTGAATTTTGGGTAAACAACTAAGAGTGCAGAGCAATTTGATATTTCAAGTTCAGATCCAGCCTTATTTAATCAGGGCCAACAATGGCTCTTGCTTCACCTTCAAGAAAATTTCATTGTTTGGCTTCAACCAAAATTACAATTGTTTGTGGATTACCAAGAAATAATTATCAATTAATATCAATCTTGACAAATTGAGAGCAAACAAGTTGGAATTTGCAAATGTTGACAGAATAATTACACAATGTTTCTGCATATGCTAGGCATTTGTGATTACAATTGTTTGTGCAAGCAAATTCCTATCTTTACTTATAGGGTTTTATAAGAGTTATGTTGTAGGAAAAATGATTGTGTTATGTTATAGAGATTCGTTTTGCGTGCTGGAGTTTTTTTTTTTTGGTTTCAAAAATTGCGGGTCCCACAAAATGTTGTGTGTGTAGAAAAGTTGTTGTGGTCATGTTAAATGATAGATGCAAAACCCTTACTTATATGTATATTTATTTAATATCATGGGCTTAACTACAAGCGCCTTTCTTACGGTGGCCTTTGGTATTCCTAGAAAGCCAGCCTGTGAAACTGCAAGGGAGAGATCAGTCGTAAAAGTTTCACTCTAAAGATTCATCCACGTAACTAAATTATGATAACTCAATTGGTGCCAAAAGATTAAGTAAAAAAAAATAAGAACATGTATTCGATCCTCCCTAATATTATCTTTGATAGAAGTTTAGAATTTTAATCCTGAAAACCTACCACAAATCAGACTAGTCGCGAAGTGATGAACCGATTGAAATATTTCAAAAAAAAAAAATTCACCCATGTACCCTTCTTAGGGTGTGTTTGGTAGGAGGTTTTGTAAAAAATACCTAGGCAAATGGATGTGGTGTTTTTAGATGTCTATGTTTGGTACTAGGTTTTCAAAATTTTAGGTAGGATAATGATTTGCATAGTAATTACTTTTTGTGTGTAAAAAATACAGTAGAATAATACCACCTTCTAGGCGGTATTTGCTTGTTTACCAGGAAAATCGAAAAAGGACCATGAAGCAAGAGACCAAAATGACCTTTGTTAATGGCAACCTTTACCATCTTATGGAAAGAGGGTCCAAGGCATTGACCTTTGTTATGGTAATTTAAGAGTTATTGTGGTAATTTAACTCTATTTTCCATCAATATTTTCCCTTCAACCAAACATAGACTTAGAAAATTTAAATCAATTTTTCCGATAATTTTTCGGCCTTCCAAACAATTTTTTTTTCACTTTCCTATCAAACTCATTTTTCTACCACTTCCCTAGTAATTATATTCCCCTGGTACAAAAATATTTCTCCTCTACCAAACGTTCCTTAAAGTAAAATCCAAATCCCCAACACACCACAACTTTTTCAGTGAGGGAGAAATCATAGACCCAAACTGAACATATGAACATTTAGACACAAGTAAACAGCTGTTGCACTTGCACAAGTAAACAGCCGGCGCACAAGGAATATAGAATATCAACGTATGTTCTTTCACAAGCAGGCAACAAGGACTATATCAGAAATCAAATTTTATTGGGGAGTAAACACCTGACCCCATGATTTATCCCAGGTAAGGGACTAACGCGTTTTGATGACTCATTTGCACACTGATCTTTAGAAGGACATTAAGCTTCATAGTTTACACTGGTAGCTGAAGAAAGCAATTAAACAACAATAGGTCATCATGCTTCATAAGACATGGGGTCACCGAAGAAAGCAAACAACAGATAAAATAACATGACTGCCACAAAAACATTCGTTGCATTTATACTGGAGTCAAGCCAACCACACCTGCAAACAAGCAAACACAACAGACACATTATCATAAAGGAGAAACACAAGAGTTTATGATAGAGACACTGAAGTATAAATATCATAAAGATTGCAGAAATATAAATCAGCTATATCTTTTGATAATTGGACTATTGAATAGGATTGACAATTTCACCCTGACCCGGGGTTACCCACCCCGCAAAGGCAGGTTTAACCCCTTATCTAAATAAACATCATGCTTATCTTAGTCACCAATAAAGTCATTTATATCATCTTCACTAGTTTAACAATTATTCGTAGCATATTTTTTGGTTCATATGAAATAATAGATTAATTTTAACATTGTGATTAACTATTGTATATAAAAAGGACAACCTAGAGCAACAAAGCTCATGCTCAGGATCAGACCCATTTCATTGGTCAATAGGCAGTTTTACGTTGCATTTGCAAGAGATAGATTACATGATTTAACCTATGACCTCAAGGTCAAATGATGACAGCACCTATCATTGTGTCAAGGCTCCCCTTCTGACTAGCTAATGTATAAATCAATTTGAAATATTCATCAGTGCAGAGGGGCTGGGCCAGTTAGATGTGGGTTTTAATATTTTTCTTGCAGGACGGGTTCAAGTGTTAATTCCTAATGGTGCGAGTTGAGGTCAGCTTGAGCAAAAACTACCCCTACGACCTATCCACGCCATTAAAAACCCTACTATTGAATGGGATAATCAATGCCCTAAAGATGATAATCAACAATAAGTGCTTCCAAATATTTTTCACACTGAGCAATTGTGTAGTACAACTAAGTTGTATCCCTTAAGGGATGAAGTATATTAATGTATGGGTGCTCTTGGAGACAGTGGTATAGACCAAAACTCTTGAGAAGTCACCATAAGTATGTATCTCAAGTATGACAGAAGGAGAGGGAATGTTATAATAACCTTCACTAGTAATTATGGATTTAATATTGAAGAATAATTAGAAGTAAAAAGAAATAAAGTCACTTTTGATGAAAAAGGAGTTAAAATGACAGTTAAGGGATAAAAATGGGGGTAAACAAAGTTACCTGAAAAGTGAAAGTAAAGTTAAAAATATGACTGAAAAAATATTCTAGTTCATTTAGTAAAGTTTGGTATTGGAAGGAAGTGTGTAGATAGATAAGTTTTTACCCAGTTAAAGTAACTTAAAATTTCACACCGTCAATTCCTTTATTTTCTTCTTTCCTACGCGTGATGTCTCCTATTTTTCCTCTCTCTGCTCGACTCTCCATGGAAAAAGAAGGGGTTAGGTTTCAAGTTTTCTTTCCTTTGATTTCTTCTTGAATTTTCCACCAAATCCAAAAGTTTATAACATGAAATTGATTGGAAACCATCCAATGAATCCATTCCACCGATCAATTTGAGCTATAGTTGCTTGTGTGAGGAGTTCTTCCTCCCCCCATTTTCGAGTTACTATTCATTGAAGGAAAAAAAAGTGAGTTTTTGATGGAGCTTTGCTTGGAGGTTGCTCTCTAGGCTTTGTACAAGTGTTTAGAGGTAAGAAACATTTATTTTCATGGTTTCATTTTGATGATTTGAGTCATGAAAATTGTGAGCATGTGTTGAGTGGGAAATAAATTAGTTTAAAATTAAATTGATGATGGATTTTTGATGTTTTGTATATAGGAATGGAAAAATAAGCACGAGTATGCGTGTAACAAAATTGGAAAAAAATCCTATGTCTTCTCCCTTTAGGGTTCGGCCATGTAGGGTTATGGAGGGTTCATTGTGCAAAAATTTAATGATATGGATTGTGAAGTTGTTATGTATGTAAAAGTTACAAAAATTAAGTGAAGAAAATAAATAAATAAAAAGAAAGGAACCCTTGGAGATCCTTTATGAATTTCGGCCCTTAGAGTGATTTAGGATGGTTTAAGGATAAATTAAGTTATATTTATTTTGATAAAATGTGGAGGCTCCAATGCATGAAATTGTCTAGTTGATGAAGTGAGTTAGTTTGGAAAAATGATGAAAAATAATGTGGCCTCCTTATATGCATGCCACGGCCTTGAGAGAAAGAATGGGCCAAAGGATGTGTTTTAAATTGCTAGATAGAACTCATGGAACAAATGAGGTTCTAGGAACTATTGGTTTTGGTTAAATTAACCCAACGAAAGTCCTAGCCTTCCGAGTTTTGGTTTCGGCCATTTAAGGTCTTTGGGGCTAGGGAGCAAAAAAAAATTGTAATAAATTTCTAATAAGAGGATTTATAGAATTATGGGCATGACTTGTGTATTGGCATAGGATTGGCAAAAACGTAAAGAAACGAAAATAAACGATAAAATGTATGCCTTATGTAAAATCTAGGCATGATAGCATTTTATTGATTTGTATTTTTGGATTCTTTCTCTAAGTGTACCTAGGGACTGAAAAGGATCGGAACCTTCTTGAAGATATATAAGTAACTTGTGCCACAAGTAAGCGGATTGAAAAAGCTTTAAGAAATAAGCTCTATGATTATGGGGTTCACTTCTACTTTGTGTTCCGCCATAGTGTACGGACTGTGGTCAGGTTGTATGATATGTATAAGATATATGATATAGATACATTCATATAAAGCTATATGATAATATGATATGTTTTGTTTTGATGTGTTTACTTTGATATGTGTTAATATGATATGTTTTGTTGAGTTCCTCTTGGGGTCCACCCTTGGGAACACGTACACTGATTCCCACTTGGGGTCCTCCCCTGAGATTGACTGTGTACACATTTGTTATATGACTTGTTCTGATATGATTTCTGTATTGATCTTTGGCCATGGATTGTATGGTACACTGATGTCTTCTTGGGTTCCCCTGAGATTGACGGTATACGCCTCTGATATGTTCTGGTTCCGCTTGGGGTCCTCCCTTGGGAACACGTGCGTTGATTTCCGCTTGAGGTCCTCCCTTGGGAATGACTGCGTACGCCTCTGATATGTTCTGGTTCCGCTTGGGGTCCTCCCTTGGGAACACGTGCGTTGAATTCCGCTTGGAGTCCTCCCTTGGGAATGACTGCGTACGCCTCTGATAAGATTTGTATATATGTTTTGCTCAGTGAAGATATGTTTTGGTTGGGGTCATCCCTAGGGATTGACTATGTACATATCTGATATGTTTTTGTTTCCGCTTGGGGTACTCCCTTGGGAACACGTACGTTGATTTCCGCTTGGGGTCATCCCTTGGGAATAACTGCGTACGTTTCTGATAAGATATATGTATATGTTTTGTTTAGTTATGATATTTGATTATATGACATGTTTTATGTGATATGTATGATGATTTTTGTAAATGATATTTGTTACGTGCGTTGATTTCCGCTTGGGGTCATCCCTTGGGAATGACTGCGTATGTCTTTGATAAGATATGTATATATGCTTTGTTCAGTTATGATAATTGCTTATATGATGTTTTGTATATTATGTATCTGACTGTCATGCAGGAAGTGAGCCCAGGGTATGAAGAGTTTTCCATAAACCTGGAGTTTACTAGAGATTCGTCTCTACTCTAACCCTGTTTGGGGATATGATTTCAGGAATACAGTTAATTGAAGAGCCTCATGGGACAAGGACACTAACCGTGGCTAGAGGTACTAGTACGAGGATGTGGAGTTCTGGGTGGCCGGAGGCTACTATTTGTTTTAGACGTATTTTTGGAAAAGATATATTGTTGTATAGTGTTCATATTCGATGCATGTATATTTGTGTATTCAGATATGTGCATGTGCTGAAATACTTATGCTGTTAGACATAGTGGCACAGAGCTAAGTTATGCATGCGCCCATGGATGGGTATCTGATCCTATATGGATATCTGGTACTTCTGAAAGTATATACTGTATAAACTGTTTATCAGGATAGCTTGAGCGTGGGATTTGCAAATCCCCAGTTGTCCAATTTATAGAGGTTACTCTGTTCGATTTTCGTCTTCGTTGAATAAGAATTGAACTAGGAGAAGTGTACAATGTGATTAGGTCATGTGAAAAAGGATTAAGAAAAAGAAAAAGTTAGCTCGTATTTTCATAAGTTTAAGTCTTCTGCTGTTTCTGTTAAGTATCATATGTATGTTAATTGAACCGGCTCGAGGCTAGGGATGTTACAAATGTGCAAGGGCAAGGTGACTCAATATTTCAATAGAGTAACAACTCATAAAATGTATGGATAATAGATGCAAGATGCCTCTTCAATGGGAGAAGAGGGATAGATATAAGTGGAAAATATTCCCCAATGATATGAGAGGGAAGAGCCATAACCGTTTTGCCCACTATCTCACGTTGTAAGAAGGAATTGCTCCACCAACATGTGCAGTGGGTGAGCTGTACAAGGGAGTGACAGATACTCCATGATGAGGTCTATGTGCTCTCTCTATGGGAGGCAGGGGAGGGACCCCTTAATGAGCCTTTTTCAGGCCAAACCAAGTATTGGGTTGTGAAGGCCGAACCAGAACACATGGAATCTTACGTTATGAAGACAAATGGCAGGTTCGATTCATAGTTTATATCAATTAATAAGTTTAAGTCTAATAACTAATCTGTCAGAAAAGATAGAGTATTCAAGCTTGTAATTTCCTTTGTAAAAGTAGGATATAGAGACCATTCAACATGGAATTTCTCAAATTTAATTTCCAACCAATATTTTATATCTAAAGAGGCAATAAAATGGGAAACAAAAGATATTCCTTGTTTTAATTGGACAACCCCACAGTTATATCTTTATTATAGGTCTAAAACTATATATACAAAGATCTCCTAGACCTCTAGTCACCATTTCTCTGTATCAGTTATGTCCATGAACTAACATTTAGCAACATACACATGGCAATAAATCATGTCCCTGTTCAGTTTAGCAGTAGATGGTATTCATCTGCTATAGATCAGGATCCAGCTAACTCAGCAGACTTAAATGCACAACTTTCAAAAATTACATAAGAGCTAGCTTCTAAATCATATCAAAACTGTGCATTATTCATTCGAACCAGTTTGTGAGGAAATCATTGTATTTTTTATCGAGAATGAAAATCACAGAGATAGAAAATTGTTCAATCTCAGAACATTGCAGCAAAGAGTGAACCAAATAACATTTAATCATACGGAATGGATGATTGATGAATATGAAAAGGATAGAATTGTTTCAATTCATATTTTTCCTCATACCACATGCTAATCTTCCACCAGCATTTCCAGTTGTCAAACTAAGTTCATGCCCACCTGCAAAAGTATAAGCAAAGGCAGATGAGACCAAAGTAAAAATACAAGTTATTATTAACACATCATATTTATATACAAGACTACAATTGCAATGTGAGATATAATATGTCATCAAGAAGATGAACAACCAATTCAATTTTTCAAATCATTCCTCCCGTGTGATAAGTTAATGTTCGTGTACTGTTTACTTGGGTAAAACGAATGGTGAAGCTTGTGACACTAATTTTGTCTACAGCACAGAATTATAAGGCAAATATAAATAAATATTTAAAATGGAATAGCTAACCTTTTCCAAGGTCATCCTCAAGCTCATGAACCACTAAGGCTCTTCCAACTACTGAAGTGGGGCCAGTGAGTGGTATCTGCATGTTTTATTCCAAACAACATGATTAGCTTCTTTCAAAGAGGAATTATATAGTTCCTAAAAAAAGATTGGAATTCATAAGAACCGTGGTTTGAAAAAATTATCAAAAGAACAACTATTATATTATTATACAAATTACAAAGAGCACCTGATTATCCACGATTGTTGCCTCTGCAGTCCCTGTGGTTCAAAAAAATAAAAATAAATAACAAGATGATACATAAGCAAGTCCACAAAGCATTTCAAAGTAGAGGAAGACAAAGGAGAAAGGAAACAAGTATTACCATCTGCATTAGCAACTATGTTTCCCAGGTCACCCGCATGACGGATTTCATCTCCAGGAGCACCATGTGTCAATTTATTAGGATTAAAATGTGCTCCTAAATAAGTCATTCAAGAAGCAAACACATATAACTTCATCAACTGAACCATACCAAGAAAAGAAAACTGCAAAGTAAAAAATGGAAACTGAAGTTAGGCTTCCTTACCCGTTGATATACACCCATTTGTGGTATCACCATACTCATGCTGCAAGATAAAAACAACACAGGCTAGGTAAAAAATAAAAAAAAAAGGAACTATTTTGAAGGAAGGGATATGAAGTAACAAGTGCAGAAAACACTCACTAGGTGAAAACCATGAAGCCCCGGAGTAAGGCCAGTAACACGAACATTAACTGTTGTTGGGCCTACTCATCACACAGTTACTTAGTCAGCACACAAAGAAGTAACCAATGCCACATAACTTAAATAGAACAATGTAACTCAGAAGTTTATTTGAAGAACACAATTGTTTACTAGCATAGTATTGCTCAGACCCATTATTCTTTTTTTGATGTATTGTATTCATTTCCGTTTTCAGTAACACACTAACCAAGCATTTCCAAATCTGGGGAAAGGAATGCATCAAAGTTGAAACCTTTAACCGAGGGAGTGAATTGGAGATATTAAAAGAGGGAAGGGAGAGGACGAACCATCGTCTTCTTGGGTGAGAGTGACGACGCCTTCGACGGCGGAGTTTCCCTTGAGGACGGCGACGGCTTTCTTGGTGGCAGCGACGACGGTGAGGGGCTTGGAGGCTGAAAGGGTTAGCGATTGTGGAGAGAACTTGAGGGAGGCACCGGAGAAGGATGATCGGAGAAGTGAATGAGGAGAGAGAAGTGGTTGGAAAGATGAGTGTGAGAGAAGAGTGTGGTGCGCCATGGCTTGTTGCATTGTGACGCAGCAGAGAGAGAGATTGAGAATGAGGTTAAGGTGTTTGTGATAATGCAACAAGGTCGATGGTTGGTGTGGAAAGCAAATTAAATTTTACATGATCCTTGTGTCACTGCCACTCACTACACTCAAGAGTCAAGACTCTTCTCTTGTTCTGTTTTTTTTCATTTTTTTTTTCTGCTTATTAAATTTACATGGACAGCACTCAACTTCTGCATTTTTTTTTTTTGTTTCACTTTGATAATTTATGGTTGGAGAGAAATAAAATTACAAATCGATTTTTTTCCCCAGTAGAGATAGAAAGAAATTTCTCAAAAATTAAAATGAAATTGTCTTTTTAATTTTAAATTTAATCTCTTTTCCTTTCTATCTTCACTTTCAAAGGGAATGTTGAACAAAAAAATTTGGAAATGTCTGAGGGAAAAAAAGTTTAATACTTTTTGTATGCTATAAAAAATAAAAAATAAAACAGAGAGAAAAAAAGTAAAAACGTGATCTATGATAAAGTTAAAAGAGTTTTATATTGATAATTAAATTTATCAATGAAAATTTACTAAGTGTTATGAAATACATTTATGGATGTTTCACTTACCTACTTCTATATCTCTTTATCTATTATAAATAATGTAACCATTTAAATACGACTTAAAATTTGTGAGATCATTGTTCATACAATACTATTCATACGACGATTTTACTATTTATCGATGACTTTACTATTTGGCTTTTTGACCCTGTTGTCCTTAATTAAATAAAAAATAATCATTTTACCCTCATTCCAAAACTATACACTCATTTGTTCCTGTCTCAAAATTATACACCCATATGCCCTAATTTAATCGATTACATAAAATATATAATCGATTAAGTGTAGAATTTTTTTTTAATCGATTAATCCAATGACTGCAACAAATTATCAAATTGCCACATATCTTATTTTGCATGTTCATCCCTAAAGCTGCTATGCAGCCACGTTGCTCCTCAACCACATCCTTCTCATACATTTTTTTTTTCTTTCTTTTTTCTCTCCCTCTGTATTTTCTCTCTTCTAAACCATCTGATATAACTCACCCCTGCTTTGTTTTTCTCTACCACTCTTCATTCTTCCCTTGTCATTACCCACTCTTTCATACACAAATTGTGAGAATCTCCCATTATTACCCAAAAATGAGCAATGTCTATGCAGAACAACATCATCACAAGTTTCAACACACCCACCAACTCCTCTCCCTTAAGAAATCAATATTGACATCCCACCAAGGAAGCTCCTCGGCGACGACATGTTTTCCAAAGAAGATTCTGACTATCCTTATTCATCCAACCAGTTCCGCATGTACGAGTTCATTCTTTTACCAACAATTGTGGCTTCTGGAAAGTTTTCTAATGGGAAATATTCAACAAGCAAATTCTTTATATAGAGATTGGTGTTAATTATGATGATGAATAACTAAATATAAATAATGGGAACATTGATTCATGTTATGCAATGTTATTATTGTTGTTAATCATTTTGGGATTTTTTTGGGACCTTTTGCCTTGCTATTGCAGTATATGCAAACAGTTAATCGATTAACTAATCGATTAAAATAAATTTTTGACATTTAATCGATTACCTATTTTATTTAATCGATTAAATAAGGGTAAATGAGTGTATAGTTTTGGGACGAGGGTAAAATGGTTATTTTTTATTTAATTAAGGGCAAAAGGGTCAAAAAGCCTTACTATTTACTGCGACTTTACTATTCATCATTACTATGCAAATAGTCAAGTTATTATTCATGGTTATTGTGCAAATAGTAAAATTTTCTTTTTGTATAAATAGGAGCTTTTTGTATTGTTTTTTGTAATCAATTCTCAATACACTCCTTTTTCTCTGAAATTCTACTACTTTCTCTAATGTCTATATCCATCTTATAACATGTTATCAGTACAATAGCATCTACCCTACCATATAAGACCTCTGCACTGTTGTATACTCATTATCATAAAGTTCCTTCCTTTTGTTATTATCTCCCTCTGCACGATAGTCTCTGCCATATCAAACTAAGGTTATTATATCCACAAAGGGAAGAGGAATTTTTCATCTCCAAGGTTGGTATTTTCTTACTGATTTCAATTTATCTTCTACATTTTCTCTTTTTATTTTTATTATTCTTGCTCCTAAAGTAGCAATTGGTATAATCTTAACGGTATTATGGCAAACATTGAAAAGCCCAAATTCCACATCCTTGAAGTAAGAGGAAGTAATTATTTGTCCTGGTGCCTTGATATGGAAATGCATCTGCAAGGGCAAGGCCTCGTGAAGACTATTACAAAAACCGAAACTTCTAATGAGAAGGATAAAGCAAATGCATTGATTTTTATCCGTGTCATTTGCATGTGAGCCTGCAAACACAATACTTACCTGTTTGAGATCTGCAGATCCTCTGGAAGAGATTGAAGGATAGGTATGACCATACTAAGATTGTCATCCTTCCTCAAGCACAGTATAACTGGTAGCATCTCAAGTTGCAAGATTTTAAATCAGTGTCTGATTACAATTCTACTTTATTTGATATTGTCTCACGACTTGAGTTATGCAGTAAATCGCTAACTAATGCAGAATTGCTAGAGAAAACTTTCTCCACCTTCATGCTTCTAATTTAATATTGCAACAACAATATAGGCAATGCCAAGTTTCCACATATTTTGAGTTAATCTCAGTGCTCTTGATTGCTGAACAAACTAATGAGTTATTGTTGAAAAAACATGATTTGAGGCCTGCGGGTTCAAAAGCAGCCTGAAGCATATGCTAATTCAATGACAAATTCTAGTCGTTTTAAGGGCTATGATCGCAGGAAAGGAAATTATCATCGTGGGGTGATAGAAAATTTAACTGCACTATAAAGGCCAATTTTAGTCTGAATCATGATAAAGGTAAGAAGCAAATAAAATTGGCAAATGAAAAGAAGGTGGTCAATTATAGTGTCTGCTACTGTTGTGTCATTATCAGACACTGGTCGCGTACCTGTCGTACGCCAAAACATCTTATTGATTTATATCAGGCATCTATGGAAAAGAAAGTGAGTGTGGTGAATCTCTCGCTATTGAAATTAGGCCCACTATTGAGACCAATAATATTTTTGTTGATGGGACTCCTCATGCTCCTAAAGTAGCAAATACATCTTTGGATGTAGCTAATTTTTTTGAGGACCTCTCAATGATCTAATTGAGCATTAGACTGAATAGTGGGGCTTGAATCATTACTTTGCAATAATTTATTCTTGTTAGTTAAGTTTTATTATCTACTTCCTGTTGAATTTCCTTATTATGCATTTTATTTTCTATTATTTTTATTTGGCTATAAAAAAATGCTTATGTGCTTATATAATGTTTCTTAATCATTAATATTTTGTTATTCTATAACTAATATGAGTATTTATGTCATATGACACCTAAAGTTGTCAACATAAGCACAAATGGATAATGTTGAGAAAAATGTGGATATGTGTTTACTTGATAGTGGATCAACACATTCCATATTTCGTAATAAATATTTTTTTCTCAAATATGACATTGTGCCAGGCATATATTCATACAATATCGAGTCCTACTGAGATTATTGATGGTTTCAAAAATGCCACTATAGTATTACCGTATAATACTATTCTGCATATTGAGAATGCTTTTCTAAGCAGTAAATCTAAAAGGAATCTGCTTAGATTAAGGGATGTACACTGAAACTGATACCATATTGAGACAATTTATGAACGAAATAAGGAATATCTTGGCATTATTTTTTATAAGTTGGGCCATAAGACCATCCATGAGAAGCTAGAAGCTTCTCCAATGGGTTTATATTGTGTCATGATTAAGACAATTGAAACCTATGCCACCATGGCATGGAAATTAATAAATCCTGATGAATTTGGATTATGGCATAATCGTCTCGGTCACCCAGGCGCTACAATGATGCACAGAATAATCCATAATACAAAAAAACATCCTTTGAAGGATACAAAGATATTGTTATCCAAAGATTATAATTGTGAAGCTTGTTCACAAGGAAAGTTGATTACTAAACCTTCTATGACAAAGGTTAATCTTGAATCTCCTTTATTCTTGCAAAGAATTCAAGGTGATATTTGTGGCCCAATACATTCAAGTGCACCATTTTGATATTTTATGGTATTAGTGGACGCATCCTGCAGATGGTCCCATGCTTGTCTATTATCAACACTCAATGTTGCTCTTGCACAAATTATAAAGTTACAAGCACAATTTCCTGATTATCCCATCAAGGGCATAAGGATGGATAACGCTGGTGAATTTACATAAAAAAGTTTTGATGCAAATTGTGATTCAATTGGTATTGAGATTGAACATCCGGTCCCACATGTTCATACTCAAAATGGATAATGCTGGTGAATTTACATTGATGATGTGTTTAATTTATGTGCATTGATATTTTGATTTGATATAACATAAGTAGGCAAATATAAAAATGGATAGCAGAAGTACATATCTTCCGTTGTAAAAGATAAAGATGGATAGCGGAAGTATAAATCTTCTGTAGTATTAAGGGTGTGCATGACAACCATTCTATTCCCTAGCACTGTTTTTGAAAAGAAACAATTCTTTTCTATTTCTATTCCTTAGAACAATTTCTGAGAAAAAAAATGTGTTTGATAACATGTTCTATTTTTATTCCGAGAATGAGAATTGTGCTTGATAACATAACAAATAATATAATAAAAAGTGATTCCTATTAAATATAAAAAAATTCGGATCATCACTTTCCTTTCCATATGTATGGTTGTGGTGGTGGCGGCGGCGGCAGCGGCTGTACGGCGGTGGTTGCGGCAGTGACATGGTGATGATAATGGTGGTGGTTGTGACGGCAATGACTGCGACGATGGCGGTGGTAATGGTGGCGGCGGCGATGGTAGTGGTGGGGATGGTGGTGGTGGAGGTGACGACAGTGGCTGCGACAATGGTGGTGGGGATGGTGGTTGGTGGCGGCGATAATAGTAGCGGTGGCATGGTGGTGGTGGCAGTGACTGCGGCGGTGGCGATGGTGGTAATGACAGTGGTGGTGGTGGTGGTGTAATGGTGGCGATGGTGGTGATGGAGACAGTAGTGGCTGTGACGATGGTGGTGGTGGTTAGTGGCGGCGGCGGTGTCGGTGGTGGCTGCAACAATGATAATTGTGGTTGGTGACAGTGATATTGATGTAGCGGTGGCGTTGTGGTGGTGGTAGTGATGGCGTTGTGGCGGTGGCAGTGGCGTGGCAATGACGATGGTGGCGGTGGCGACAATGGTTGCGATGATGGTGATGGTGATTGATGGTGGTGGTGGTTGATGGCGGTAGTGGTGATGGTGGTGATGACGGTGACGATGATAGTGGTGCTGGTGGTGGTTGCAGCGGTGGGAGTTGTGGTGGTAGTGGTAGTGAGGGGTGGCGGTGGCATCATAGTGGTGGAGGGTGGTCACGACAGCACTAGTGGTACTACGGCAGCGACGACAATAGTGGCGGTGGTCGTGTTGGGATGGTGGTGGTGGTGGTGGTGGTGGTGATGGTGGTGGAGATGGAGAGTGATTAAAAGAGATAACTATTTCTCATTTTGTGCCCGGGAACAAAAAAGCAGAAATTTTCTGATTCTTTTTTCTGTTCCCCAGCACAAAAATTAATCCGGTTCATCCCGGGAATAAAAAAATAAACTGATTTTACCAAACGAGTTTTCTATCCATTTCTATTCCCGGGAACAGAAATTAAAAAAAAAAATGATTTCGGAAAGGTTGTCATACGCACCCTAAGATTATCAAGAAATCAAGACGTAGAAAGGTAAGTGAGTAATCAAGACGTAGAAAGGTGATTGAGTAATCAAGACGTAGAAATGTGTTCTTAGCTATATAATATATTATTATTAACAGAAAAATATTTCAACAGTTACTGCAGATAAATTATCTGCATTTATTCCCAAAACGACATCGTTTTGGGATTGAAATATTAAAAAATTATAATTATAAAGACTATAATAACCCTGAAATAAATTAAAATTACAAAAATACCACGATTTTTGCCCTAAAATGACGTCGTATTGGGCTTACTGCAGATAACTTATCTGTAGTAACTGCAGAAAAAACGAACACTATTATTAATATATGTAAAGGCAAGGAAGAATAAATCTTCCGTATTATAAAGACAGGGAATAATAAATCTTCTGTATATAAAAGCAGGGAAGTATAAATCTTCCGTAATATAAAGCTATGGGATATAGGGGATTATAAAGGCTTCCGAAACAAGTCAGTGAGATATAATCAGTAGGATATGCTAATAAAATTACATGTTGTATTATATGCTTTATATCTGACCTTTCATGCAGAGAGTGAACTCTTGGGTCGATATTATTACATAAACCCAGAGTCTTATTGGAATTCATTTATCACCCTGTCGTAGGGCTGTAATTTAAATTACAGGTACATCAGCAGCAGGACCAATTCAGTGAGGATAACGGACTCTGCAGGAGTTGGCACTTAGCTATTTTGAATGTCTGTGTAGACATGTTTTGTAGTGCATGAAGTATATGATCATGCATGTATATAGTTTGTTATTATTTTGATAGGCATGTGTTTGCCTATGTTTGTATTATCAAGTAATGTAGTTTGATGTTGTATTGGCACGAAGCCATTTTCAGTATATATATGTTGGATAGACTTTTCTGTATTTCAGGAACAGGTTAAAACAATGGGATTTATCCCTAGTATAGTCCAATTTACAGCTGTTATGTTATCCGTTAGACTCTATACAGAATGGTATAAATTATCATATCTGGATAGTGATTGCTCATTGATTATTATCTCTTGGAATTTGAATTGGAATTTGTACAAGTATGGAACTGTATAGATATTTATAATTAATAGTAGGAATTAATTGAAAAGAAAAAGTTATACAGGAAAATTACATCGGGTAACTAGGAATTTTATTAAGTCTTCCGCTACTTTAATTTAGCTAGATGCGTATAGTATGGCCATATGTCAGTTAACAATCTGATTATTAAATTGGGACATTACAAAGTATGTGAGTGAGGACAAAGCACGCTAAAAAGTCTAGTGTTAGTTTGTGGGGACAATCATTGATCTTGCAAGCGGCCGGACGTTACAGGTTGCAAAGGAATATTCACAGATATAAGGGGTTGATTAGGGTGAGGTGTTTTCACCTGTTGCAAAGTTAAATTTCGTAAGGCTTGTTTTGTATAGAGTAGCTGCATATGACCTAGAGGTGGAGTAGCTGGATATGAAGACAACTTTTCTTCATGGTGATTTGGAGAAATAATTTTCATAAAGCAACCAAAGGGGATCGTAGTAAGAGGCAAAGAGGAGCTAGTCTACAAGCTGAATAAATCTCTGTATGACCTGAAGCAGTCCCCCATGATGTGGTACCTGAAGTTCGACTCCTATGAAGCTTGGCTTAATCATTGTGATGTTGATCATTGTGTCTATATGAAAAGGTTAGAAGGTGACTTTGTTATTCTAACTTTGTATATTACAACATGTTACTCGTTGGAAATAGTTTGAAGATTATCAGCACTATGAAAGGACTGCTAGCGAAGTAGCTTGAAATGAAAGATCTAGGCACTGCAAATGTGATTTGGGTATGCAGATTAAGAGGGATCGTGACAAAGGAAGATTATGGTTGAGTCAGCGGAAGTATATAAAGGATATTCTGAAGAAATTCAAGATGACTGACTACAAACCTGTGTTGACTCTCATGTCTAATGGTTATAAGTTATCAGCAGAACAGTGTCCCAAGACTCAAGAAGAAGAAGAAGAGATGAGATTTGCTCCTTATGTTAATGTAGTTAAGAGTCTAATGTATGCCATGATTTGTACTCATCTTGATATTGCTCAAGCAGTGGGAGTACTGAGCAGTTATAGAGGAGCATTGGATGGTGGTGAAGCGTGTGTTCCATTATCTTTGTGGTACATCTGGTGTAATATCCCGTTGTACACCGGAATTGTTAACATTGATTATGATATTAAGCGCAGCTACAATCACAGCAGTTCATTTAAAAATGCGAGTAAACTTTTTCTTTTTCATTATGCAAGCGTTTAAAACAATAATAAAACGTAATGATAAAAGTTGTGATTATAACTGAAATCTAAATGCGAAATAATTAAAATAAATGTCTAACTATCATACAATGTTTATCTCAAGCCACTAAAGGGTTCCCATAAATTCACTTAGTATAAATCTCACTTTTACTGTTTTTGCACAACTGAACATGGTTCAATCTTTTGGACACTGAGCGTGATTTAGTGGTTACAAGCCTCTCATATTTTAGTATGTTATTCTAGACTCAATTACCTTTTCAACAAGGTATCACACGCCTCGTAAAGTTCTCATTTACTCCGGTTATCGCTGTTTGAAGTTGAACAAGCAAAGCTGTCAACCAACCCCAAACAAGACACCAAACATACCCTACCATTTCTGCGATTCTGAACAAAACACTCCACCAATTAATCTCAAATTTTTATATAGTAAACTATATATCTTAAGCTTCAATTTGACATATCATGGGCTTAATTTTACCAAGAATTGAGGGAGAAATAATTTCCTCAAAACTGCTACCCGATAGCCCCAGGTGCAGGGTATTCTGGATAGTCCTCACTCAATTGCGTCTACAAGTCTGCTCACAGCTTCAATTGCTACCAAATTTTGACATAACATATTTGACATCTCAAGCTTCAAAATTATGTATGGAACGTCCCTATTGGAAGTCTGTGGAGGGAGATATGCTCTTCCAAAGTTAACCTCAAATCTGCCATTTTAATAGAAATTTCGACGGCATCTCCTTTGTTTATTCAATCTACCCCACTTTATCAAAAGTGTGTTATTATACCTCAAGGGTACCTAATAGACAAGGGTGACACTCAAGTACTAACAATGCCTTGGTGCTCTTACAACCCACAACAATTTAAGGAAATTGTCCTTTGCACTAGCCTTGCTACTACTTGATATTTTCTGCCCCACCTTTTGATTAGCTCTGTAACTTCCTTTATAACCTGCTACATCTTTTCACTTAACCTCTACCACAGGTCTGACCACCCGGGCTTTTGACTGCTTTGGTTTTGTTTGACTTCATCTCCATGTAGCATCGTTTTTGGTACCTCCTCCATCGACACCGCTTTCAGCCGGCGCCCCTTAGGCTTCTTTTGAATCACCATCCAGTTACCAAAGGCATTCATCTACTCGAGCGCTCCCTACTTCATTGGTGGCACCTTCTCCTTGGCTTTGACTAACCTGGTTGGCTTGCACTGATTTGGAATGGTGCACCGTTCCACAGTGTTCTTTCTTGTGTCTATATTGGCCACAGGAGAAACAGATAAGGTGGAGTCCTTCATAGCCAACCTGAAAAGTTTGGTCTCCTATTTTGAATTTGGACAGTAGGCTCTTATTGAGGTTAACTTCCACGCAAATCCTTGTGTAACGAGCTTTACTTGTCACCTCTTCATCTCTTTCTTCCACCCTTCTGATGGAGTTCTTATCAACTTTTAGTGTTCTACCGAATATATTACCAATTCTCCAGAGATGGTGTGAGGAGTATAACTCAATAGGTAGGCTTGGGATGCGCATCCAGATGGCTAGTTTCCTCACATCTTCATCATATGGATTGAACATAGGCCTCCATCGTTGTACAATCAAGTAATGGTCAGCTAACACCCATGGACCTTCGTGCAAAATGCGAAAGTAGTCCTTTTCATCAGAAAAACGTAGCAATAAGTGCCCATTATCCAGATCGATCACCTCGTACACTCCTGTTAAACCCAAAGACTTTGTAGTCTAGCCAGCAAAAAACGAGAACTGATTCTCCTTCCCAGCAGTTTGATAATGAGAGCTTTCCTCCACTGCTTGCAGTCTTCTTGATGTTGGCTTTAGGAGAATCTATACATGGGACATAATGGATCATCACCTTCCTCCCCAGTAACTTCCTCTACGTCTTCTTCCTCCTCCTCTCTCTTTTGTGTAACCATCCAGTGTTCATCCTCACTGTCCGAGACGTAACCATCTCCATTAAGGTGTAGGAGTTTATCCTTATACGAGACAATTTTCCTCGCAGAACTGGGCTCTTTTGCTAAGCCCTGACTACCTTCATTTGAAACCACCTGCATAGCCACATTTTCGACAACATCATCAGTTTTTTCTTGCATGTCTTCGTCCATGTGTTGGTCTTCAGGGCCTACTCCTTTAGGTTTTTGAACACTGTTACTTTGTAAGTCTTCTTCTTCCATCGCCGGAGTCCTCCTCTAAGAGTTTTTTCCTCTCTCTATCTCTATCTCTATGTACACTGTCATACACTAATACATTTATAACTCTGTATAGATTTCAGTTATGATCACAGTTTGTATCATTACGTTGTATATTGTTTTCAAATGCTTACGTAATGAAAAGAAAAAAGTTTATTCGTATTTTTAAATAAACTGCTGTAATTGTAACTGCGCTTAATATCATAATCAGTGTTAACAATACTGGTATACAACGGGCTGTTACAGAACCCCTTTATCTCAAGGCCATGAAGGGCAAAGATCAGTCGGACTCGGCCAAGTTACAGGGTTACACCGGTTGGCTTGCATGTCTGACCCTTTAAACTACCCAGACCGGTAACATCACCAGTTTACTGATTTCCGGGTTAAAGTGGCCGGTCCGACCTGAGTTTTAAACCCTGTCCAAAAGACTCTAATATATTGCATCACTATGAATAATATAATTTAGGTTAAAAGATATTTTTGGTACCTATGCAAACAAAAAAAATGATATTTGTTTGTATATTTATAGGGAATTGTTTTTGTGATGTAACATAACATAAAAGCAAACTTCCTACTGTCACAAAAGGAAGAGAAATGAGAGAGAATAGGAAAAAGAGAAAAAATTTAAAGTGAGTCTCATATAAAATTTGTATGTGTAGGAAGATGATTTTATGTTTTGTAACATAATAAAAACAAGGGCTTTATTAATCTCATGTGACATAAGAGAAGCTCTCTTATGTCATAGAGATAGTTATGAGTGTTTTATCCATTCACTTAAAGGAAAAAAAAACCACGGAAATCGATGTATGTGTAGGAGATAAAAATACTCTCCTACAACATAAGATAATATTTTCCCCATATTTATAATCATTTTTAATGTTGCCGCCGTTATTTGTTGTCATTATAACACTGAGATTAACATGCGTTTACAGTGAATTATATGAACCTAATTTAAAATGATTATCACATATAAAGATTAAAAATCTAATATTTTCAGTTTTTATACTTGACATTCATTTTCAATTTTATCAGAGTATATTTTATGAGAGGAGTTATATTTACAACCCAAATAGTTTACAAACTTTTACAATCATATCTTAACTGTTGATTTCCGTCAATCAACGGTTGTCATTTATTGTGAATTAATAATTAATTAGTTAATTTGATTTACAAAAATCTTAACCGTTGATTGACGGAAATCAACAGTTAAGATATGATTGTAAGAAGTTGTAAACGAAAATAGGTTATAAATATAACATTCCTCATATTTTATTATGGTATAACTCTAAGAAATTAAAGTATCTACAAGACCAAATTTATTTATTTTTTTCATATCTATAAACAATATTATTTAACCCGAATTGATAATCGACTCGATAATAACAATCTATAATTTCGAGATATGATTTCAATTGCCTAAATTTCCAAGTATGATCCAAAAATAAATCTCTTAATAATGAAAAATTTATCAAAGCCGAAATGACTTTAATAGTCCAAACAGAATCCAAAACTTCCAATGGTTTATTCCGAATAAAAAAGGATAGGTTATAATTACAATTTTTTTTTATAACCTCTTACAATTATATATTATAACCGTTGATTTTCTTCAATCAACGATTATGATTTTCGCAAATTAAATTTATTAATTAATTATTAATTCATAATAAATGACATCCGTTGATTGACGAAAATCAACGGTTATGATATATGATTATAAGAGGTTGTAAAAATAAAAAGTTGTAAGTATAACCTTCCTCCACACAAAATAGAGAAAGATAAAAAAGAAAATGGCCCAGAAATCTACAGGTTAATGCGAGCTAAGTTCGAACTGTCAATATATTTTATTTTATTTTATTTTTGGAAACTTGAACTGTCAAATTTTGTAACTTCATTCAAAATGCTAGTCAACCTTATTAGGAACCTTTTTTATTTTATATATAATTAACCTTATGTGAATCAAGCCAGTGCGAACAAAGTTGGCATGTTACCAGCGTCTACAATAAATTAAGTCATGTAAACTCATTTAAGAGGATAAAACTCAGCCTCTATTTTTCCATTCATAAAACTTGAAAATGAGATTTTTTAAGGATAACCGCTTCACCACTCATATCAAAATATATTAGTAGCAAACAATTATTTTGAGCAATATAATATAATTATGTTAGTTATTTAAAAAAATTAAATTCATAATATAAATTTGAGAATTACAATTTTGTCTCTAAATTCAATTAACAACCCAAAAAAAACCGCGTGCCAAAAATACAAACATAACATAAATTATTATTATTTTATATTACATCCGATATCTCCACAGCCGATAGTTATGAGACTAATCCCTTGCCCCGGATCAACGCTCAAAGCGGTAAAGAGTTGACCATAAAATACTTTTTATTCACAAGAGTTGGGATTCGAACTCCCAACCACTTACTTAAGAAACGAGACACTTGCTTAAGAGACGAGATGCTAAACTACCATGCCCACCCAGCTCTTTCTAACATAAATTATCTAGAAACACTATATCCCATATAATTCACGCGTCATCCTTCTCAATTCTATTATTCATTAATTAAAGCTGAGCCACCTTGCCGTGAATCCACATTTGAGAAATTCTAAGTTTATTCTATAAAAGAAGAAAATTTACATTAAACAGCATTTTTAATTAAATTTTGAGCTTAGTTTTGATGTAGCGTTAATATGAATTATAATTTAATAATATATTATCACATTATTTATTGTTAAATTTAATAAACAACGTTAGAAGAATAAGTGCATTAACCTTAAATTCTAGATATCTTGTGCAATCTCACGATATATTTGTTGGAGCCAGGCAACTGCCAACTTCATTCCACATGATTCCAATTCGTATTTATGGCTGTTGCATAGATATTTTTGTTTTACAACATCTTCTCTGTATAATAATTGGGGATATTTAAAAGACAAAATTATCTCATACACATAAAAAAAAAATTACTAAAATTCATTGTTTTCTTAACAAGTTTTACCCAATTTTTTTTTTTGAGAAAATAGACCTCATATATTTTGTATGTATTACAATAAATAAATATATTTCATATAATAATATTTCTTATCAGTTATTTTCCTGCGTGTAGCCGAGTCAGCTACAGATAGGCATAGGGAGAAATTTCTAAGAGACAGATAAGAGAAACAGTGTCCCATGCGTGCTTGGCTTTAATAAGTAATAAAATATTTAATAAATGTCACTGTCTCTCTCTGTATAAATACTCCAAAGATTTCTTCTGCTACTGCAACAAGTAACAAACTGACAAAGTGGTTTTTGTTTGCACTTAGCACACAAGATTATGGAAACCAAGGCAGAGGTTGTTTCATCTCCTTCTGAATCCAGCTCCATATACGTTTCTTCTATGGAACTTGGAATTGAGAATTTCGGGTTTGTCTTAGTTTTTCAAGTTGATCATTTCAATTTTTATACACTATATTTTATTTATTTATTTATTTATCTTAGTAAAAAGAAGAGAAATTTTCTTATCTTGTTTATCCCATTTTGTTTGGGTTAGCTGCACGCATTACAGAAGGAGATGCAAGATCAGAGCACCATGTTGTGATGAGGTTTTTGACTGTAGGCATTGCCATAACGAAGCTAAGGTATAAATTTATTTTTATTTTTATTACTCCTGGCTTGTTTGTGTTGCTAATTGGTAGAAAACTCAAGTAAGTTTCTTACTCATCTATTTTTATTTGAACAGAACTCTGAGGAGATTAATCCTATGGATCGCCATGATATCCCACGCCATGAAATTAAAAAGGTTACCCTTTCTTTTACTCCTCATTACTTTTTCACTTCTTGAATTTTAGTTGTATGTTATTATGTTATGTGACTCTTTTGATAACTGTTATCTTATAACTTCCAGTTATATGCTTTGCATGATAAAAATAATCTGGAAAAGTACTTTCCCTCATAGAACAAGCATTGTCCTTTGATTTGCTTCATTATCATCTATGTACTTTGGTTTTTTTTTATCACATAAAAGGGTATGTTTTTTTATCATATATGCCCCTGTGGTTTTATACTTTTTACAAACTACAGGGGCATATGTGATAAACAAAAAATCACGGGAACATAGGTGATTCTGAAGCAAACCACAGAGATAGTGGTGAATTTTTCCCTTTATTTTTTTAATTTCCTGTCACCAAGAACTTTCTTCAAATCTGACTAGTGAATACATATCTACCTTACCTAAATTAATGTGAATTTTGAATTCCTTGTCCCTTTGAAAATTTTCTAGCTCCACCATTGATTTGCTGCAGTTGCCTGAATTGTCTTTTTAATAATACAGCTCTATTCCATTTTTAGATTAGAGAGCTAAACAAAGTCTTAATAATTATCGGGTTCTTATCATGTTTTTCTCGCAATTTTATACCATAGTTCTTGCTATTCACTCTCTTACTCCATTGCCTATTCTATTTCGTTGATTTTCAGGTCATCTGCTCCTTGTGTGATACAGAGCAAGATGTAAGTTCATAAAATCTGAACCGTAATAATAAATAGATATATATACATAAATATCCCTGCGGCTATTGATTGCTTCTCATGCTTCAGGTTCAACAGTACTGCATTAACTGTGGGGTATGCATGGGCAAGTATTTTTGTGCTACATGCAAATTCTTCGATGATGATGTAAGTTCTCTATTGTAATAGAAATTGAGTCATGTTTCCTTCTTTTCTTTTCTTTTCTTTTCTTTTTGTGCAAGTCTTAGCTGTGTACATATTGTATTAAAAGATTGTTCAATGTTTCAGACTTCAAAGAACCAATACCATTGTGATGAATGTGGCATCTGCAGGTAAAGCTTTTCAATCATTTTGCTAGCCTTTAGTTTTCATATTCCATATTGCTTAACAGATTTTGATCAATCATATCCGCTTTGTAAATTGCTTTTACAGAACTGGAGGCAAGGATAACTTTTTCCATTGCAAGAGATGTGGTGAGTTAACTATTCTAAATGCATTGTTTAGTTTCTCTCATACCTTTTCTCCATTAGCTGATTATTGTGAATCTGCCAATGTTTTTTTTAGGATGTTGCTACTCCAAGGTAATGGAAGAGGGGCATCGTTGTGTAGAAAGAGCAATGCATCATAATTGCCCTGTTTGCTTTGAGGTAAAATAAAAAGCTAGTACTATTATAGTATGAAGTTTTTAGAAGAAATCTGTCTGATTCTCACTGAGATGATTTCATTTTTTTTTCACTTGCAGTATCTATTTGATACAGTAAGAGATATTACTGTCTTACCTTGCGGGCATACTATACATTTAGAGTGTGTTAAAGAGATGGAACAACATCATAGGTAAGGCATTTATGTCTCCAATGAAAGATTGAAATGCTATAATTTTGGTATACCTTTTTGGATCCTATCATTTAACATCCAAGTTATGCTGCCATAACCCAGTGTTGTGTACCTTCAGCCAGTGTTATTAATTCAGTCTTTGAACATTACAGGTTTTCATGTCCTGTTTGCTCAAAATCCATCTGTGACATGTCAAGTTTGTGGAAGAAGCTTGACCAAGTGGTATGGAGATGACATTTTTTTCCCTTTTATGTTTTTGAAGAGCTTATGATTACATCAATATATTCAGTCTTCATATGATAATGACATTCTTTCATTAAAACTTTGGTCAGATCGCATCAACTCCAATGCCTGAAACTTACAAAAATAAGATGGTAAGTAACAATTCCATCTCCAAAGCTTTTAATCTATGAATTAATTGTAACTTGTCAGACATCTCTAATTGAGGTACTTGTGTGAAACCAGGTATGGATACTCTGCAATGATTGTGGAACAAACTCCTACGTGCAATTCCACATTGTGGGGCATAAGTGTTCAAGTTGCAACTCATACAACACAAGGCAGATACAGGGAATACCTACTACCTCATACTCCTCTAGGGTGGCTGGGATAGTGAGATGAGAATTGGGTTGCAGAGAGATCTCCACTCTAAACATTGCCTTCCCTCTGGGATGGAAAAAGCTCTTGTTGAGTATAATTGCCATTTTCCCGATTCTAGTTTAGTAGAATTCTTTTGATGATGGTGGAAGAGGGTTGAAAATTTGTTCAAGAAAGTAGTATAAGTTCCAAATGTTGTACATTGAATTTTATTTCTTTTATGCAATGTTATTCTTTAATTATTCTCTCTTCTATCTTTTTACTTCATCATCTTCCAAAGGAGGCACAGTTCCAAAATGTCTTCCTGTATACTGATTCCATATAGGGAAACCATAAGAGATTTTCTTTTCAATTGCAACCAGTCAAGTGTTATCTCGAAATTGAAATCAAGGTTTAAGCAGGCCAGGGCGCCAGGCCCTCGTTGCTTGTGTTTGGAGCAGCAATACCCTGACTTATTGCACCAAATAATGCAGCTTTATAAAATAATTGGTCTAAAAAATTGTTGCATGACTTAAAGATTTTCCCAGATAAATGGAGTTGCATTAAGCCAATGGTGTGTTCATTCAATAATAATTAAAATCACTGCAACACTTAAATCAAACTCAAGCGGTTAATAGACTCGGTTAAGACTCTTGAATTGGTGTTGTGAAATTATAACAAGAAACAACTAGGTCTCTTTTGCATTCTCCTTTTCTAAAAATTAAACCGTCTCATGGAAGATACAGTTGAGGGTATTGGTGTGTTTTTTTCAATGGATTTTCAATTGGAATGACTTGCTCTAACTGATAAAATAGTGAAACTAACGAGTCAGTCTTAAAATAACTTTGCCACAGTGTCTCCAAATCAGTGTTTTAAAACTCAATCACACCTCCCGGGTCAACCCTGACCCCTCCCTTCTAAGGGTTGGGGTCACAAGTTGGACCCTATATGCACATCGACCCCTCCGACCCTCAAAACCCAGCTGGGTTTCAGTGACTCCCGGGTCAGGGGTCAAAGAAGGTCACTGCATGTTTTTTTTTTTAAAGAAAATTCCATGAAACAACGTCGTTTTATTAAAAAATAAAAATGCTTGCAAACCTAAATCTAATCGTTCTCTTCTCTCCAAACGACCTAGACTTGTGGTATCTTGATAATTTGGTATCATTAGAATATGAGTTTTGTACTTTGGTATCTTGATACTTTAATTAGGTTGTGTAATATTGACTTGTGGTTACAATTGGTGAATTATGTTAAGGATATTTTGAATCTTTGATGGTTGGTGATTTGCTTTTTAATATTTTCATATAAGATATATATATTTATATTTTTTTAATATATAAAATCGGATCAACGTAGTGACCCCGTGATCCCCGGTTGAACCCATGACCCGTGACCTCGGCCGGGTTGATGGCCGGGCCGGGTTTTTAAACACTGCTCCAAATAAAAGGTTAAAGGTTGAAATATAATTTGGAGCTTCAAATAGATATAATACTTATACCAGTGATTTTCGTGAAACAGTTACCTCAAAAGGCTAGTAGCAAATCATGAAAACAAAGAAAAGCCGCACCATAATGCTTTCAAGATGCATGAATTCATTCTGATTAATTTGAAACCTTTATAGGTTTAAAGAACTATGTAATCAATAATTATTATTGGAGTGGTAGTAATCAATAATCATTACTGCTTATTGACCAAATTTGGGGTGAGAAAAATGCTATTTCAAAGGAAAATGAGAGCAATGTCACTTTATTTCTTCATACTCTTTAGATTCGTTGTGTCGAAGGGGAAGTGAATTATGCGTATGCCAAGTCATTCGCGAGAGAATTCATAAAAAGAATAAATGACATATAGCATTCCTGTTTGGGTCAACAATCAACATGGATCGAAATTGAAAACTTTGGTTAATAGCATTGAAGAAGAATCTTTTACTTATTGCCCAATTACAATGATTAGACAGTACAATTTTGAAAGAGTTTTTTTTTTTATCACAGTAAAATGTAAGACTTGTGAGTACAAGACTTGTTACATATTTTAATTTAGAAAAGGAGAATGTGATAGAGGGGAAAAAAAAGGGTGATTGCATAACAAAACACCTTGATAGAGAGAGTGGCCTACTTGTCCTTTGCTTTGAGTGAAACCCAAGACTAATTAATTGGCTAACGAATCATTTTCTAGGCCAAGATTTCGATGGCCAATTGGCCAGACAAAAGCATGAAAGGACTAAATTGATACACCTTTCCAGACAAAAAGCTTTTAGACAGCACCTTTATGATCCTTTCTCTTGGTTTGCAGCAAAAGACAGAAGATGGGGACCCCCATATAACAGAACTATACAAGAATCAGCTTTTGAGTGTCCCCTATTTTTCTTTCTCCCTGAAGTCATGGAATAAAGTAGTCTTACACGTGAATCTATTCAAGTAATCCATACATTTTGAAATAAAATTGTCTGACCAGCATATTAAGATTCTTAATTATTATTTTTTAGGATACATTAAGATTCTTATTGTTATTAGGATTATTGCCTTCCTACAAAAGAAGTAACTTCACTCGTTAGAAAATCCAATGTTGAATACATCGCGTACGGTCTATATAAAACCAACCATATAATTATGGGGCGTCTAGCATCATTGCCCATTAGTTAATGGGGCCTCTATTATAAGCATTAACACGTCAAGATGGAAACAACCATTTTGACTTGAAGCTACCTTTTTAGGCTAAAAAGGGTCCATAAAATTATCTTTAGCTCACCTTTTAACTTTGAGAATTATATGTGGTCATCCAAGTTCTGTTAATTTGAAGTCAAACACAAGCGAATCCAATGTTAAATTCAAGGTAACATGCATGGCAATTGACAACATCAACATCGATGCAACAAGATGGGTTTGAAAATGACCTACACTTTTCTTTGCGCACCTTTTGCCCTAAGAGGTGCAAGCTAAGTAGCAACCAATAATTTAAAGCAAACAAAAGCAAGGGTGCAAAAGGAATTATATTGTATCTGTAGGCAAAATGTGAAATCACTTCATTTCATGATAGCAGTCCCTCTCTAACAAGCATAATATATTTACAGGAAATGGAACATTGGGACCACACTTGCATTATTAGCTCCCTTCGCAATGAGTCAGGTCAAAATGTTTTCACTTTGTGGGCTAACAGAAATGTCACATGGACCTACCAAGATATATATAATCATGTTGAATTCAAACTAAAGCTGAAAACCCAGTTGTTTTGCTGTTGTCAAAACTCTGAAAATTGAAATTTTAAGAGCTGCTAGATGCAGTGTCGCAGAATGGTTTAGATTGGATTATAACCCGAGCTCCTGAAGCAAGCCTGTTTGAGTAAAAATCATAATTATTATCAGTCTATGTTGCTGAAAAGATGTAAGAATATAATGATAACTTGAAGAACAAGAAACAACAGAGTCAATACTTAACTTTCTTCAATTTTGATCACCTCCTCTTCTCTAAATGAATCTATCCTCTTCGATTGCTTTTTCCCTGATAATGGTTCGGTGATTCTTTTGCTGCTACCGTTTGATGTTACTGAGGATATGCCTGAGCCATCAATTCTATCCGATGAGTTTCTTGGTACATCAGAAACTGGGGATCTCATGGATTCACTTCGAGGCTGTTTGGTCAATGAAGCCTTAATTGACCGTGGAATGCATTTTGAATGTCCTGAGGATGATTCCTCTTTGTCTTCTTGTGGTTTCTGCTCTTTATATATCCTGCACATTTATATAATGGTTTTGTAACAGATGAAACTTGGCCAAAATGTGATGACTATTGACTTCCATGTTCCTATAATCAAAACCAATTACGGAACTCTAAAACATGACTCCACAAAGGCAACCATTCAGTCCAGCCTTTTTATTTTTATTTTTTTTCTTTCTTTTACCTTCTGTGGAGAACAGGGAAGGGGGCTGATAGTAGATGTTCCAATGGTTCCTATTTATATTTAGCATACTGGCTTCATAAAACAGCAATGAAGCCCTTTATTTGGACCTTTGAAGCCTCCATTTCAATCAGACATCTCTTACAAACATAAATAAGAACTAAACAAGCACGTGAAAGTACTTATATTCCGTGAAATTCTGTTAGCTTTAACAACCAATTGACAAAAGACATACAAGAACATAGACTTTGTAACTATTTTACTGAACAAATACAGAACTGACGAAGTGATCAGTGGGACAAACAATGTTCCAGTGATTTTCTTTTTAAAAAAAGTCAAAAATCAAAAACATGCTAAGTGATATTGTTGAAATTTAAAATCTTGGGGGGAAAATTGAGTGAAAGCATATGCAAAATGTGGAACAAGAGATGTGGTTACTTTTGACCTTTGTGACTGAGTTTTTGAATTGTAATAATGCACAGCTTAGTGGATGCTTTGTGGTTATAAGTCTGAAATTATTCACTTAATGTGAGAGTTTAACTCAATCTGGAAAGAATTTTCATATCTGAGAGAAACTCAATTCGCCTTTTATGACAACATTCAAGCATTATCACCTCTGGACTACTGCACAACTTATCTGGTTTTGTAGCCTAATCTGGCATTATTCACTAGTTAAATTTTAAAGATGACTACATTCCAAATATTAGTCCTATTACTACAATGGATCGAAGCAATCCACATGCTATTTCCTCAGCTTTGAATAATTGTTAGGTTATGACTAGTGCTTTGTATGCCCAATTAAGAAAGCATCGGCATGTATAACGCTTCCAACATGCTAATTTGTAATGTTGCAAGAGAAGAGTTGAAAGAAAAACCTACCTCTCATCACTGTAGGAAGAAGACCGTTTCAGAACATTATGTCCATCTCCTTCTTTCAGTTTAGTCTCGACTAAGCTCCCACTGAAATATTCTTTGTCTTCCAATCTGAGACTCATCAGCTTTGGATTCTCTGCTAAGCAATCAAATTCTCCCAACACAAAAGAAGTTGAGAACAGCGGGGAAGGGAATTTTGAATGGGAAAACCTAGGCTTATAAGAAGGAATAAGGCCAAAGCTGTGGTTTTTCACTGATATTGAGCCACATGAGATCAGTTGCATCAGCAAATTTGAGGCCTTCAGCCTTGTGTTGGTTGGAACCTGAATGGCCTCCTCTTCCAGAATCCTGAAACTGTTCACTTTACTAGCATCAGCTCTAATCAGAGATTCCAAAGTTTCAGCTTTCCCCCCAAGAGATGAGGGACTCGAAGTTGAGGGAGGGGGAGAAACGGTATCCCTACAGATTGCTGCTGGATTATCTTTCACTTGTGGAACTTGGGTTTGACATATTTCATGGCATTCGGGTTCTACTGACCCATCCTCTGTGGATACACCCCTTGTACAAGTTTTCTGTGTTTTGGTTTTGTTAACATTTTCTTCTGTCTGAGTTGAAGCATCTGCCAATCCATCAGTCTTATAAATTTTGTACTCTGTCAATGCCAAGCTTGGAGAACCGCTCTTTCCAGCTCTAGACTCTGGAGAAACATCGGAGGAACCAGTGTGAGGTTCTTGAGAAAGCTCGTCATCTTGCGAGTGTCTTGTCTCTTTCCCATTCATGCTAGAAGAGGAGGAAGATTCATCATGGCTCCTAGAAGAAGCTGGCCCTGGCAACAGCTTCACGCTCAGTATTTTATCATTGCCAATGGGACTGAAACGATCTGCAAAACAAAATCCACAAAGTAAGGTTACAGGCATTCTATAAACATTCAGGACCAAACAAATTATTATTTGCTGAAGATAAATAAACTAGATATATTCTTTACCTGAATTGGATTCATCAAAGAGCTCAGAACCTTTGAGGACATACTCGTTTCCATGGGCTGGTAGAATTAGATCATCTTCACAGAGATCATGCCACACAAATCCGTTCTTATAGCTTCTGAATTACAAAAAGAACAAATATCAATGGTGAAAAAAAACATGCAATAATTTTATCCTAGTCTGAAACAACCAAAAACATAACAATATTGACTACTACATCTGAAATTGTAAACTTTATGCTGCCTTGCCTTTCCTAAAATTCAAAAGGGAAACAAGGGGCAAGGATAAAGCCTATCAAGTCCTTCTTCTTTTTTCTCCCTTTTTTTATTCGTTTTCTCTCTTTCTTTTCTCAACATACAAATTGAACAACAAGACATAGAACATGTAATAACCTGCTCACCTCTTGCAAGACCATGAATACAAGGAAGCCATACCTCTACCTCTCAAAGCATTTAATCTATCAATCACATCTGCACACAAAACAATCCCTCAAAAAACACAATCCACAACAACAACAAAAACCACATTACAAAAAAAGTGTGTCTGTCCATTTTCTACCTCTCAAGTATAGACCATCTGGTGAAGAAAGTGGAACCTCCATAAAATGAGGGTGTTCTAGCTGCCTGTTTCGACATAGATAGTAAATAACTGGTACCTTCAGACTCTGATGGTATTTTGGTGACTTCTCAGTCCACACTTTTGCCCTCTCTGGACTCACCTGCCGGTACTTTTTCATCCTCGCTTCCATTCTCACATGCACAACAACCCCACCCCAGCTACACCAACCATCAAAATAAAACCTTTCTCGAGTTCTAAACTTTAAAACCCTATCTAAAGGAACCCCATTGTTCGCATTAGCTTCACTGCGTTTGAAAATGTTACTGGGTCTGTGTGGAAATCTTCCATCACCATCACTGAGAGTTCGCCAGAAATCAGATCTAACTCGATAGTAATATAAATGTGCTTATAAAAGCTGTAAAATCCTTAACAATATAACTGAATAATAAAATAAAGAGTAAAGAAAAATACCTTAAAAAAAGGGGGGAACTGAAATTTTAGAAGCTGGGAGAGGAATCTGTCTATATACGACAAACGAGGTATGTGTTTTGTTGAACTGGGAAGAGAGAGAAAATGAAAGAGGAAAAAGACTCCAAGTGATGGGAGTGAACGCCCGCAATTGAAGCGTGTTGGGAGAGTGTGGAAGGGGATGAAACAGAGAAGAGAGTGGGTAAAAGTGAATATAAAATGGCTTAGTCCTTTTCTTATGGTGATGTTTTTGGCTGATTTGATGGACTGGTTTTATGAGCTTCAGAGTTCGGATGTTTGTGTATTGTGTTTGTGTTAGGTGTTCTGACTTGGCTGTTTGTTTTTTTTCCACCTTTTATAATACTAATTTTCGTGTTCTGTCTTTTCACCAACAACCACATTTGCCCTTCCAAGTTCCAACCGTGCGCGGTAAAATTCAAAGATCGAAGGGATGGTTTCAAAAATCTATTGTTTTAAAAATTGGTATTTGTAAAAAATAATTTTATTTTTTATATACATAAAAGTATGTGGGACTTATATGAGATCATGTGAAAAAAATAAAGAGAAAACAAAAAATATAATTCCCACCAACTTTTATATTTATGTAAAGAATAAAAGTATTTTTTATAATATGAGAACTATTAATTCCTTTAAAGTTAGGAAGAAAATAATAAAATTAAATTTTTTTACTATTATGTTGACTTGGTTTTAAAAGTTGCTCTAAGGGCCACAATGTTGACTTGCTCTCTCTCAATATTATGTTATATATGACGATTTGTCTTAGGTGGTGTTTGGTTTGGGTCTTTTCAACATTTCTCCATCTATATGAAGTAAGATTTTTAGGAAGGCAACGTTTGTTTGAACAGATTTTCTTCAAATCTCCATCTATATAATTTGCATAGCTTTCCCAACTGAACCGCCGAAACTCACTAATATGCACTGTTTAGAAAGCAAAATTGAGGGTTGGTTTTTATGAAAACCCGGGTATGCACTCTCCACCACCTCCTCCTCCTCCTTCCTTTCATGTGGATTCTCTTATCCAACATCTCCAACACCTCTCTTCTGCTCCCATCACCACTCATTTCCTCACACTTGTGCCTCCAATTCATGATGACAAGACCCATTTCAATTCTCTCCGAAATTCTCTTGATTCAACTGAACCACCGCTACCCACTTCAGCTTCTGCCACCAGAATTGATTATGATCAACTTGAGGAGGCAAAGTTTGGATTTTTATCAGCCAGGGGTAAGTTGATGCTCAATTCAATTGTTGGGTCACCTTTGCATAGTTTGAATGATTTCTTCAACTCTGCCAAATTTGAATTGCTTGAAGTTGATATTCCCAACCTTTCTGGCAACTGGGAAAGAGCCCTTTTGTTATTTGAATGGGTTTGGTTGCATTTTGGGTCTGAATATATGAAGGTGGACAATCAGGTTGTTGAGATTATGGTTAGAATATTGGGGAGAGAATCACAGCATTTTATTGCATCCAAGTTGTTTGATTTAATTCCTGTTGAAGAATACTCACTTGATATCCGGACAATCAGGACGTTGCGTTTTATTCGTTGGATGACAAATGGAGGATATTTGTATTGGGGTTATATTTGTTATTTCATACTATTTACCCATCCAAATTTTATCATAAACCAAACATAGGTTTTATACTTTTTCATAAATTTTCCTGGTAATATTTCGTCAAACCAAACTACTTTTTTTTTAATTTTCCTATCTATCTCACTTTATCTCACTTTCTTACCATTTTCCTAACAATTCTATTTCCCTAGTATTTCAAAAATTTATCCTCAACCAAACGCTCCCTTAATTTATTTTTGTCTACGTAAACTCTTTGTAAATCTTAAGTGATTCTTTTGCTTTAAACTTGTCTAAGTACAAATGATTATATACTGTTAGCGTTGTATAAAAGTGATAATTATATTGATTTATTTGTTTTGATGGGGTGGTTCATATTAATAATTTGTATAATATATAACCTGTGATATTGTCTAAGGGATTAAAGTTTATGCTGTAACTTTAGATAAATATACATGCTGTGCACTTAAACTACACCGTTTTGCACTTAAACTACACCGTTCAGTCTTTTTTTTTAAACGAATCGTGCTTCCGTCTTCCTTTTTTTCTCGCTTCCTTACATATCGTGCTTCCGTTTTCTGACCTGAGTCGAATAATGAAAAAGGAGAAGCCAAAAAGGGGAAATAAGAGAAATTGATTTATAGCTGTGAAGTTGTGAACCAAAGTTCTTTTTACCTGCTCATATGAAAAGTGTTGCAATTGAATCATTGGGAGATTCAGACGGTGGAGCATTTTCATAATGAAAAGGTGCTGATCAACCCACCAAATATGTGGCCCCTTCTTGTTGATGATGTACATTCCACCTGGTACTTGGCTTTCTATTTCTAACGGTCAAAATTTAAGTGCAAAACGGTGTATGAGGGGAAGTGCACGATTCATTTAAATTAAAAAAAAGACTGAACGGTGTAGTTTAAGTGCACAACAGGTATATTTATCTAAAGTTACAGCAGAAACTTTAATCCCATTGTCTAATGATCTTTATATGATATATAAGTTTTCTATCATTAGTATTTAAACAAGATTAAAAATTAGTAAAATTGGATCGTTGTGAATCTAAATGGTATATATCATAAATACTATTACCTATGTTTGATGGTGCTTGATTAGAGGTATTCGCAATCTGAATTATATCAATTTTAAAGCAAAAATTATTAATTCAATCTTTTTGGTTTGATCATTTAATCATTCATTTATTTTGGATATTTTTTTTTGAAAAATTCAATCCAATTTTATTCGGTTTGGATTGGATCGGTTTTCGATTTTTCAAAAAACCTAAAATTTTAGCCCTACAAATTACTAGTTATATCAAAATAAAGGCATACAAAGTTACAAACTATTGAAAAATTCAAGTTTTCAAACTAAAACAAGTCTTAAAATCCATGCAGGATTAAAATAGATTAATAGACAAAAAAAACTAAAACAAGATAGTTTGCTATCAATAACATCCAATATCCAACTTTACAAAATAATAAGATTTCAAGTCATCATCTTTCAAAAATAATAAATATATAATACATTATATCGGTTTTTACCAACCAAACCGAAAACCAATTCAATCCAATTAAAATATGTAATTTTTTTAGATTTTTGGTTTTTGATTTTAAGTCTTATTATTTTAATTTTAAACAATTTCATTGTAATAATACTTAAAGCTACCAGTTTTTTGCTATTTGTATACACTTTTTTAACTAAAAGTTTGACCAAACTCTTAACCAATTGTACTCACCTTTGTTGGCTTACATACACTTTTTAATACATGACTAAAACCCTATTACAATGTATTTATGTTTTCACTAGGAGCGCATTCTTTAATACTTGAGATTTTATACATGAGTTATTTTAAAAAAAAAAAATCAATTACGGCACGCTTAGCGAAGTTTTATGAAAGTAGCTTTTCTCATAGGTGATGTTTGGTACATAAGTTTTTTGGAATCCTGGGAAAATAGGGTGAGAAAAATTATTTTTCTATGTTTGGTAGGAGAAAAAGTAAAAATAATTCCGAAATTTTTTTCCATGCTCTTGTGTTACACAGGTGATTCCCAACTCAAAATACCATCAGGGGGCATTTGGAACTGGAAAAAAAAATTTAGATCCTGGAATCACGATAACTTGGAATATGGCTGGAATAAAAAGTGTTTAGGTATTTTACAAAAAAGGTGTTTAGTAGGACAAAATATTACTGGGAATATTAGTTAATTTTTCTGTAGAGATGTTTGGTTGAAAATAAAATATTGCTGGGAATATGATGAAATTTGACAAAAGTACCCTCGTTGAGAATAACTTTTATTCAAGACGATTTGGCACATTATAACAAAAAACAAATCGCAAATAGCGACCATCTTCGTGGGCGACCTAATTTTGAACTTTATCAATCTTCATATTGTATTTCCTAAACTGTGATGTTATCGTTGTAGGATCATAGTGCTGGTAAGTTTTGTTTACAAATAGAGCCCAAAGTTCTTATGCTGTCTTTCCTTTGCAAGCATGTTGGATCGAAATAGAGTTACTGTTCTGATAACACTGTATACGACCTACCAGCCAATGTGATGAGAGGATGCTTACAGGATAACTCACCATTCAAAGAACCAAAATCAGAGCAAAATCCCCAAACTTCTAGTTAAACGAAAATCGTGTGAGCGGAAAAGAAAACCAAAAAATTACTATTAAATTTGACAACAAATTTTAAAAAAAGGGCAATCAGAACCAAAGAATATGGTTAGCCAAAAGGAAAAGAAAGGGCCATAAGCTTAAAAAAAAAAACAATACCACAGATTAAGTAAAGTTTTTTTTTTTTAACACAAAGATTAAGTAAATTTCAACCATTTAAGAACTTTGGAGTTTAAAAGAACAGAAACAGAAACAAAAATAAAAAATAAAAAATCCATCAAAGCCATCATCAAGAAATTACAAGAAAGAAAACGAGTAGAGATACTTGGTTCTCCGTAGGAACATTCGGTGAAGAGCCTCATTCCTTTTTCACCACAAATCCATTTTTTGGCACAAATGATAAGATAGGGTTGGGGGGTAATTTAGTCTGAGAAATGGCACGTGAAGAAACCAAGACATCCAAGAAATTACTCCATACCAAACAGCCCCTCAAAGGCTTGGTGTTTTTTTCTCCCCATGCGATGAG